TTATTATTATTATTATTATTATTATTATTATTGTCTCTCTGCATATGAACAACAATACCCGGCAACACGATGACTAGATACTGTGTGTTTCCTTCTTCTTCCTCCTCACATGACTGCTTATATTATTATTAATATTATTATTGGGATGATAATATATAGTGTATCCATGTCTATATGTATTTATTTATTTATGTACAGTGGGAGTATGAAGGGGCGAAGTCGAACAGGTCGTTTTTTCTATTCTCAAAAGGGGGAAACAGAAGTATACACACACACACAAAATCAAAAATGATACCAAAAGGAAGCCTCAGTTTGTGCTACTGTCGATTATTATTATATTATTGTTAGTATTATTATTGTTATTATTATTATTAGTATTATTATTATGATTTAGTATTAGTATTACTTGCAATTTAAACATTTTTTTTCCTTTTTTTTTGGTTGAACAGACAGAGATGGGACGCCAACAAATTCCCTGCTTCCACCTTCACTCTTTGTCGATGATACTTTTTTTTTCTCGTAAATTCATTTATGGACTCCCCTCTCTCCTTCTGTTAACATTATATATATATATGTATATATATATATATATTAATGGTTGTAGTCCCATTCCGAAGATCATTTACTTTCTTTCTCTCTGTACATATATATATATATATATATATATAGGTTGAAGAAGAGAAGGGGGTGATGAGAGGAGAGAAAAGGAGTTTGGGGGAATGAAGGCGGTGGGAGTGGGAGCTTGAGAGAAAAGAAGAAAAGTAAATACAACGACTAACAAAAAGGAAGGAATGGAAAATTAAAAAAAAAAAGCAGATGAAAAAAGGAAAACGAGAAAAAATGGTAATTCAGAGAAACCTTCTTTTACAGAATTACCCCCATAAGAATTATTAATTAATTAATTTATTTATTTAAATTCATACCACTAAACAACAACAGCAACCAAAAAAAAAAAAAAAAAATTTGAACAAATCACACGTAAACATGACGTCCTCACCATATATAAACACCGCCCCTCTTAAAGGGCGTATTTTACTTGTTAGATGAAAATAACAAGAAGTTGAAAGAGAAAAACAGTGAAAATAATAAAATAAAATAAAATAAAAAAAGCAAAGAGAAAAGAAGAAAAAGAAATAAAGAAAAATTAAGAATGAACGATGAAGGCGATAAAGAAAACAAAAGAATAAAAATAAAAACACAATCTCTCTGGTAGCCACTTACACGAGAATAGAGAGAGACATAGAATACATCATCATTATCAATATACATATATGGTCTTGTGGTGCTCTGTGTTTATTGTTTTGTTTGTTTGTTTGTTTGTTTTCTTTTTTTTTTTCTTTTTGTGTTCTCTTTGCAAACACCATCATCAAGAATAAAGACAATTGAAATAAGATGAGAGACCCTTGTTTTTTTTTTTTTTTTTCTTTTCTTTTCTTCTTCACATCTCTATAGATACCCCCACACATACATGTATACATAGACATTATACCTGAGTCTGTGGGTTGGGGAGTACGGGAAGAATCAAACAGCATTTTTTCTTTTTCTTTTCTTCCCTCATTGATGAGAGAGGAGAACGAAAAAAAAAAAGAGGATTTTAAGTATTCTTTTATATTGGAGGCCAATTTATATCTCCAGCCATATTATATTGGTAATTTCTTTCTCTCCTCTTTTTTTAAAAAAACTTCTTCTTGTTCTTCAGCATCTTTGCTTTCTCTCTCTTTCTCTCTCTTTCTTTTTCTTTGATGATGGTTGTTCTGTTTTTTTTTATTTTAATTTTTCATTTTTCATTTGTTTTTCTTATTTTCTCCTTCAGTTTCAAATGTGGTGCTCTGAAAGTAAAAGCGATTTGTTTGTTTGTTTGTTGTGTGTGCTGTTCTGCCCGATACACCAAAAGTAACCCTATTATGCCTTTTTCCGCAACTTGCAATGAAGAGAATGAAAAGAAGGGGAAACATGAAAGCAGAATTTTTTTTTTTTTTTTACGTACGAAAAAAAAAAAAGAAGAAAAAAGAAATTGTGAAGCAAAGACGGAAATAATTATGTGCCTGATATGGATAATAAATGTTTTTATTATTTTTAGGAATGAAAATATAGCTTTCTTTACTTTCTTTCCTATTCACTCAATCTTCTTTTTTTTTTTCTATTGGTTCTCTCTCTCTATACATGGTTCTATCTATCTATCTATATACCTTTTCTATCCGTGTCTTCTTATTGTTTTCTTCTTTCTTTCCTTCTTTCTTTCTTCTCTGTTTAGTTTCTTCTTTTATACAAAAAGTCACAGACGTGGCCAAGAAAAAGAAATCGACTCCCGTCAACAAATCACACACACACACACATCTACACAACACAAAGAAAAATAAGTATATATACCACATACATACATATATATATATATACACTAGAAAGATGCCTTATCAGAACCTTTTTGTGGCTAAACTCCCACGCAATGTGAATGATGCCGATCTAGAGCAGATCTTCGCCGAGTATTTCCCAATCAGTGCCAAGGTGATGTTGGATGCCGCCACTGGAAAGAGTAAAGGCTTTGGCTTTGTACTCTTCAAGACCGAAGAGGAAGGACGTAAGGCGTATGAAGGAATGAACCGTCGACAAGCCGTCACGCAAGGCCACCGCTTTCATCTCTGCGTGTTTCCCTCGCAGCACTCCGGGCGATCCGCCTTCTACGCCTCCAACGCGCTCTACATTCGCAACATCCCCGTGAGTGTTCCGCAGCATCAGGTGGAGCAGTTCCTCGCGTCCTTCGGCACGCTCTTGTACTGTGCGATGCGTGAGGACCACTACGGCAGCCCCGTGTGGGTCGTCTACGCGGAGTACGACTGCCTCGACTGCTCCGCCAACGCCCTGCGGAAGCTGCACGGGAAGAATTGTTACTTCAACGGCGCCTCCGCCATCATGGCGAAGTACGCCGACAGCGAGGAGACAAAACAGGAGCGGCGGCGGCGGCGCGAGGAGGGAAAGTCGGCGCCCGCCACCGCCCCCGCCCCCCGCAGTGCGTGTGTGTTCCCGCCGCCACCCCAACAACACACCGCGCAGCAGCAGCCGGAGCCCATAAAGACAAACAAACGAACAACAACAACAACTCCAGCGGCCGCAGCGACGGCAGTGACAACGGCAGCGGCGGTTCTTCCAGTCGATTCGGCGGTGTGGTTGCGGGACACGCGGAAGAGCAGCACGCCGGATAGCAATGAGAACAACTACAGTTTCGGCATGGAGGGCGTGGAGACCGGCGGACGCAAAAGTCCTGCAGTGGTGTATCGCCACAATCCCTACTCTCTCGCTCATCTCGAGAAGACAGTGGTGAATCAACCTGTTCGAGGACCACGAAATCTCGTTGCCTGATTGCCTACAGCGCTTTACTAGGGAATAGAGAGAGAGAGAGAGAGAGAGGGAGAAAAGGAGATGCAATACTCTTCTCGTTTTCTTCATAGCTGAGATAGGCTTTCTGGGGTGAAGTGTAGAAGGATGTGGAATTTGGGCATGTCACCACCCTAAGAGTTTGCTAAAAATGGGATACGTAATACATTTCTTTTCTTATTCATTTTTTTTTTTCGTTTATTTCTCATACATACTCTGTGTTTTCTTTCTTTCTTTCCTTATCTCTTAAAAAAAAAAGTCGTTTCATTTGATAAAGAGAGGGAGGTGAACGAACTGGAATGAGGAGTTGGGAACGCATTCCTCTGTTGACAGGTCACTTGAAAAGGAAATACATTTCCTTTTCTTTCTCTCTCTTTCTCCTTCCCTCTCTCTCTCTCTCTTTATTTCACTCTTCCGAGTATTGGAAATGAGGAGTGAGTAGAATATCATAGCCTTTGGTTTATCTCTATTCTTTTTTTTTTTTCTTTTTTATTATTTGCGCGCAATTATCATTTTTTTCTTTTACTTTTTTTTAGGGTTATTACTGTAGCCGAACGCTACACTCACTCTTTCTCACCCTTCGTGTCAAACATCAACGGAGGGAACTTTACTTTTTTTTTATTGTTTTCTTTTTGGAGGGTAATCCTCTTTGGCCGTGTGAACAAACTCCAGGAATGGAATAGTGAGAAAGAGAGAAAGGGAAGGGGGATTCGAATTATTGTATTTTTTTGTTGTTGTTAATGGAAAGGAGAAATGTAGAGGGGGGATAAGGGAAGAAAACGATAAACGTACAATTTAATATGCACATGTACTTTTTTTTTTCTTATGTAAGGTAACAAGAACGCGAACGATACCTTTTTTTTTTTCAATACATACACTTTCTCTCTATTTATTTTTCTTTTTTGTATTCCTTCTCTCTTGGTGTTTTTTTTTGTTGTTGTTTTTTGTTTTCTTTCTTCGATTTCACTTCATCTCATTTTGTTTTTTTTCATGCTGCTCGATCATCTCATTTCTCTCCACAACTATATTTGTATTGTTTGGAGTACTGGTGTGAAATCGTTAATGAACGAGGAGCAAAATAAATAAAATGACTTGGAGGATGCTAAAGGCTGTTCTAGCTATTGAAATAAGAAGTTCATATATATAAATATTTATATATATGTTGGAGGTGAATTACGGATAAACGATTTGGGGAAAATTTTTTTTTTAAAAAAAAAAACGTTTTTTTTTATTTATTTTATTGTTTTTTGATTTCTTTCTTTCTTTTTCTGTATTTGTTTCTATTTTCCCCCACCTTCTGTTTTTTTTTTTTTTTTTTTTAATTCTGGAATAACAATGCGAGGCTGAAACCATTAAACCAGGAGTGAATAAAAAATGTTTGTACGCATTACTTTCAGTTTTTTGTGTTTATGCGTATTCATGCATTTTTCTCACCCAGCCCAGCCGAAAAACCAAAAGAAAAGATATTAATGTTGGGCACTTTTATTTTTACTTAACTTTTTTTTTTTTGAAAACGAAAACGTCTTGTGTTTTTTTTTTATTATTATTATCTTTTTTGTTATTTTTATTTTTTTCTTTTCCTCTCTTCCTGTGTATGCGAGTGGATCATGTGTTTTATTTTCACTTCTTTCCATTATCGTTCTTATTCTTTTCTTTTTTTTTTTTTTTTTCTTTCTGCCTTAAATGACATTTCCCTCTTCTCACCTCACTCCGTTTGTGTGTGTATAGAGATAATAAACAGGGTGAGAAGATGGAAAGTCAATAGGGGTTTAAAGAGAAAAAAAAGAAAAAGAGTGAAAGTAATGAATAGAAGTGAAATAAAATAACAAATTAGCTGCGGGGAAGAAGCAAGAATAATAAGAGGATGATGGATGGGTGATTGTTGTGATGATGATGAGAATGGAGGGAAAAAGAGGGAAATGGAAAGAAATGGAATATAATATAATATATATATATATATATATATATATATATATATATATATATATATTCGTATTCCATCAGTTTCTATTTCACTGTTTTTTTTTTTTCTTTCTCAGAGTATCATAGCCTATATCATACTCTCCTCTTTATTTACTTAATTTACTTTTTTTATAATTTTTTCTACTTAGATGTTTCATGTATCTATGCCGCCCGGGAAAAGGGCTTATTCGAATGAAGACGGAAAAAAGAAAACTTTTTTTTTTTTTATTTTATTTCTTCCTGTTTTTCTTTAATTGAACATATGGAGAGAAAAAAAAAAGGCAGCCGAAAGAGAGTAAATGGAGGAAATTGGTTTTTCTCTTTCTGTGGGCTTTTTTTTTCCTTCTTTTCCTTTCAATTTCTATTTCGTTTGCTTTCTTTTTTTTTTATTCTCTTTTCTCTCCACTTTTTTTTTCTTTTTTTTTCTCTTTATTTCTTAGGGAAGGGAGTTTTTTTTTTCTTTTTGTATCGTTTATTGCTGAAGAATATATTATTGGGATTCTCTTGTTTTTTTTTTCTTTTATTTGGCCTTAAATTACGATTCACTTCTGTATATATATATATATATATATATATATATACATTAAATGGATTTAAACAAACATGTGGTACCGTCAGAGGCTTGGTATTATGTGTGCGTAACCCAAGATGTACTGACGCAGCTAGATGCATTGTTACAACAACTTGATCAGAAGAAGGAAAGCACAAAAACAGATGAGTATAATGTAGTGGAAAAGAAAGTGAACCGAGTTCTTCACGAACGTTTACCCAAACTTTTACAACAACTTTGGCAAGAGATCTGTGTAGGGATAACAGCTGTTCTTAAAGCACATACCGCTCAACCCAGTCATGAGGAAAAGATGTGGAGTGAGTTGGGAGAACAGTGTTCACAGTTATCGCTCTTGAGATCTCTTTATAGATTTATTATGGCTGCCCTCTCTGGAAAGGCAATGTCGAATGGGGGTGGAACTATTGTAGAAGTTCGCGGGATTGCACGCTTGCTGTATCTGCGGGGTTGTGTATTATCGTCAAGTGAAGGGCAAGAATTAAAACAGTGGATGATTGATTTCGTATTGGAATTATATAAAACTATATTTACTCAAGTAGAGAATGGGAATGCACGATTTGATGAGTTGCAGAAAAAAATAACGGTATGTAAAGAAACTTTTCGTGAGTCTTCTTCTTATCAATCTCAACAACAACAACAACGTCAACATCAACAACAACAAGAACCACATCAAGGCATAGGTTCATCTAATGTAAATCTAGAAGCCGAAGTGGGAAGTTGTTCTGATGAAGAAATATGCAAAGAACACTTGAAATTTCTTAGGGCAGCGTGTATTGGATTAGCAGATGATCTCATCACTTTTCTGAGACAACAAACATTAGAAGATTTACAGTCATCTCCACCTTTAAAGGAAAAGAATGATGGTGATGATAATATTCAACCCAATCTCTCTGCTAGTGAACCCACCGACACGGTAGTGGAGTTAACAGGAGTTGTGAAGGACTCTCATTTAACCGCTGGCGCTGATCGTTGGGTATTTTTTCGCATCCGCCCGAACGATTCTCCTCCACTCACGCTTGAGGAAGTCTCTCTTCAAGTGCGTAACTTTTACGATGTGTATAATGCGGAGAAGAGTAGTATGGCCTTTGCCTTTGCAGACGGCTACGGGGAGGACTACACAGATCTCTTTGATGCCCTCGAATACCGCTACTGCTTTACCGCCCCCGAAAAAATACCCACAGCAGCAATAGAAACAACAACAACAACAAAGGGAATAGAAACAACTGGAACTACACCAATAGCAACAACAACAACAACAACAAGAGTGGAGGGAGTCACAATGTCTGTTCCATCTGAAAAACAGTTGCCTGATGGGGAAGTGCCTAAAGAGGCTGAAGAGGGAGTAAAAGAGTCGGATAAGAAGTCTGAAGAAGGCGGTGGATGTTCTGTTATGTGAAGAAGAGCATCTAGTAGAATGAAAGAACAAAGGAAAGAAAAAGAATAAACTCTTTTTTTTTGTTGTTGTTGTTGAACAGAAAGCGTTGCAGAAGTTCTTCTTTCTGTTGAGTGATTTCCAGAGAAGAGTACTTCTTTTTGCAATGATGCTGCTTTATAAGAGAATCTATATTTGTTTACTTTTAAATAGTTTTGCTTTTCTTTCCATTTCTCTGTACTGTTGGTGCAGAATTGCTATACAATTCACATCTATGAAATACATATACTCTTTTGTTTTTTTTTTTTATTTTCTTTTTTTGGATGTTTAGATTAGACGAAGCAAAAGAAAAAAAAAAGAAAGAAAGAAAGAAAGAAAAGTATAAATTGATAGACGAGAGAGGAATACTGCAGGGACGATGTTCTCTTATGTTAATGGCAACACCATTCAAGATATACAAGCCCAACAACTCCTTACGAGAATAGATGAACAATTGGAGCGGTGGAATAAAAAGTATGGATCTATCACTCAACCTACACGGCCGGAGACATTCGTCTCTAGAGAAGCGTGGAATTCCTCAAATGTAAACTCTGCGACTACCTTATATGGAGAGTCTACACATACTACTAATAATACGAATAATACTCCAACAGCAACAACAACAGCAGCTGCTGCTGCCGCAGTAGAGTCGATATCAGTCCCTAATAATGAGGAAAAACTTACCAGTTCAGTGTTACTCACACGTATAGATGGACTGGAAAAACAACTACGTGCTGCTGAGGAAGATCGTGTAAATCTTCGGCAGCTTCTTTCAGCTACAGAGCGTCGACTTTCAGAAGTCTTAACTGCTCAAAAGACACTTCAAAATGAATGGATTTCATTTCGTGAAGAGTTTTTAACATTTTATCGAAGGAATAATGAAGATAACACAACAATATCAACAACCGCATCTAATATAGAGTCTGATAGATATCATGGCACACATTTCGTACAGAGACAAAATAATAATAATAATAATAATAATAATAACAGCAATAACAGTAGTAGTACCTTCTCTGGTCCTCCAACAGTTACTTCCACAGAGTTAGCAAACACACAAGGTGTTTCCTCGTCAATTAGTTTTCTTAGAAATGAAGGAACCCCTGGTGGGATGCCGTTAAGGAATGCTTCCGCATTAGGTATCGAACCTGCACAGCAACGCAGAATGGTGTTAGAACAATTAGCGCATCGTCTTTCAATTCCATTTGGATCCTGAGATGTAGAGGATATACATTAATCATGGATAGATAAAGAAAGAGAGAGTTTTTGGTTTTTACCCTTTTTTTTCCCCATTATATTTACAAGAATTAGAGATTATATTCCCAAATGTTTGATACAAATATGTTTTACTAACCAACCCCTCTTTGATGGGTACAGGTGTATCTGAAGAAATAGTGTCTATATATTTTTTGTTTCTTATTCTCCTCTTTATCTATTTTCACTTTTATAGACAAGAGAAGTAAAATGGTGCTTCATATTTCTCTTGTGGGGAAATCAAATCATTCCCCACCAACACGATTGGATCTGTTAGAGAAACTGCGCCGTTTTTCTCCCCGTGCTTATCATGCCACTCGCTCCTATTTATGGACAGAAGACAATTTATTCACTAATCTTTCTCCAGTGAAAATAATAACTGCAGTGGCACCTAAAGGGGATTGTGATTGTTGTTATTATTATGCGTTTAAAGCCGATTTGTCCTGTGGAGGAAATAACGAAGATGTTCGTGTGGTCGCCATGCTTCTTCTAGACCTCACAGCCGCAGTGGAGGAGATCGCGGCGATTATAACTGAGCAAGAAGATGTTGGAGAAGAAGATGTGAGTGATGTATTGCTTGTGGAGTTGGCAGATGTAGTGGAGCAATCAGAAGAGAGACGCCGAGCCTATTTGAGACGCTGGGCCGCAGAGGAACACAATTATCATCGTAAAATGGTAAACCGTGTGGTACTCTCATCTGGTGATCTCTTTATTCTTCCACTCTCTTTACCGTATACTACTTTTATACAAAATGAATCAGAAAAGGAAAATGATAAAATAAAAGTTTCTTTAGCTTTTCTCAGTTTAGATAAAGAAACAAAGGAACATTGTCGTGAGAGGGAACTCACAGAGGCTTTACATGATTGGGCAAATGGGGTGGAAAGAGTCATGCGAGAAGAATCTTGGCATCTCGCAATAGTCTCTATACCCGCTTCTGTAGCCGAACTCATTAATGTTTATCCACATCTTGTACAGAAGGCACTATTACATCATAGTGTTCGGGAACCATTACATTGGCTTCAAAGTGGTACACTCGCTTCCATCTCATCTAGTCATGCAGAAGATATTGTTCGTGTAGTTATTCAGGAATACCGTATTTTAGTACAAAATAATCGTTACGTACGAGTACCATTAAGAATGCCACGATATACATTTGCTCACTTTTATTGTACAAGTATACCTCCTTCTCTGAGAAGTGAACCGCTAGTAGTAAATTACTCTTCAAATACTCAGAAAAATAATTTGAATATAGTTACAGATGAAAAGGAAGTTTTATTAGGTCTTCAACTCACCATTGCACTTCATAGACTTCGTTGTGAAGTGCCTGGTTCACATAAAGAAGTTATTGAACAATTTTTAAAAGATTTACAACGTAGAAATGATGAGACGAGTATGATTTCTAATGTTGTAAATGATCCTAATGATGTCCTTTCACAACGTAGACTTAATCGATTGAGACGAAGAATGATGCCTGTGGCTTCTATGCAGGGACATTCTACGGATTGGATGCGTACATATGCACAAGAGGCCGCGAGGATGTATGATGTTACAGATAAAGAGTTTGCTCGTTTTGATGAAAACATGCTGAACTCCAGTGAGAGTGACTCCAGTTCACAAGAGGAGAATAATACAGATAAATATGAGAGTGATGATGATACTATCTCTACTACAGAAGATGAGATTCATGCTGTGGAGAGGGAAATTGAGGAGATGGAACCTTTGTTGGAGGCAAAGATGCGAGAGGCGGTGTTGGGCAGAGATGGTGTTTGCAGTGGAAATGAAAATGAAACTGCAGCGTTGGCCGCAGTAGCAGAGAACGTTTTATTCCGTGAAACTGTTCAGATGCTCGCTCATGATGATGATCCCTGCAGAAGTTGAAGTAAGGAAAGAAGGAGGTAAAAAAAAAAAAAAAAAGAAATAACAACGAAGAAGAAAGAAAGAGACGGGGTAGTGGGAGGTGAAAGAGACTAAAATGAGATATAGAATGTAATGATGTATTCTTTTTTTTTTTACTTTGAGAACAAAATGTGGATTTATTGTTGTTGTTGTTTTTTTTTTTCCTTTTTTTTTGTTTTTTTTTTTTTATGTTTTCTCTTGGTTGAAGGGAAGTGTAGTACACTCTCAAGATAAGCATAGGCAGAGAGTTAAAAGTACGATATATATATATATACATAGAGAGAAAGAAAGAAGTATATAGAGAGAAATAAGAATATTAAGAAATATAGAGAAGGAACAAAGGAAAAATAGAGATAAAAAAAAAAAATGTCACAATCGAGTGAGAGTGTATTGCGTGAATTACAATTACGTGGTACGCAAGTAATCTGTATTGCTGTTTCTGCAGAGTACCTTATTTGGTGTAGTCACAGTGGTGGGGTTTCTAAACTCTATGTGTGGTATTGCTGGGAAGAACAGCCCTCTACGGAGCCGCTGGTGGAATTGGGATTTACACCATCTCTCATCTCCCTCTTTCAAGAAAAGATTCTGTTAATAGGTGAAAGAGCATTGGCACTTTTTACATTGGAACGTCATCCACTCTGTATATTGGCTGGAGGAGGAGTAGAAGAACAAGAAGAAGAAGAAGAATGTTCTTTAACAGAAGAATTTGTTTGTGGTTGTGTGATAGAAGGTGTGAATCAAGCCACATGGACACCAGATGGTTTGACTGTTGCCCTTTCCACACCAGACCAACTTGTATTAGTGGATTGTCGAGTTGGGTATACGGGTAATGGTGATGATAGTGGTAGTAGAGGAGGTGAGAGATGGCCATATCAGTTAGTAGACTGTGGTTGTTGGTATGATGATCACGGTGCTGCCTTTGCTGCATTTAGTGCAACTCGTTTATTTCTTATATCGTATCAAAATCATTTAGTAAGTATTCGTTATAAAAATGAGGATGATGATATTTGTTGTCATGTAGAGTCTATACTAGATCGGGATGGTCATATTCTTTCACGTGCGCATCAAGTAACTTGTTTTGCTGTTGGGGGAAGTGAAGAAGGTCATCTCGTAGTGGGATTTTCAGATGGAACGGTAAAACTCTTACAACAAGAGACATTAGATGTATTTTTTACTCTTAATGTGACGAAACAATTATACCGATCGGTAGATCCATCTACTATTCCAAAAGAAGTGGAAGAAGGAGGAATGTGTGTGCTGGACGTGACAGTAGGTAGAAAATTTTTTTTATTAGTTCGTCCAGATGCTGTGATATGTTATGATAAAAACTCTATGGAATTGTTAATAGATCGAACATTATTTCTTTCAGATGATAATTCTGTATTATGTGCGGTTTCAGGAAATGGTTCATGGTGTGTTTGGTCACCAAAGAAACAAGATTTCATTTATTATGTTCCTGGTGTAGAAGTATGTAGTTCGAATATCAATAATGATGATATGATTCACGCCAGAGAGGCACTCCGTGCAGAACTCTTAGAACCTCTTTTATTACCTTATCAACAACAATTAGCAGCGGCTACAGCTGCATCTGTTGGAAAAGGTACTGGTAAAAATGATAAAAATAATAAGAAAAAAACGAATTTGAATGTGGATAAACCAGTAACCTTTGGACATCCTATTAAAAGTAGTGGTTATGCTGCTAGTGTGCCCTGGAGTATTCAAAAACAAGAAAAGGATATACGGGCCAAAACACGTAAACCGACACGACTTCCACCAATAACCGCCGCTCCTCTGCGGTATAAAGCATTACCATTTTCTAATCATCCTTTGCAACCAATGACAAATAGTAATAAAATTCTTTCTTCTTCACCTATTCATCATGCAGTTGTAACCTCAGCTACATTCTCAGCAGCAGGTGCTGGTCTTCTTACAGCCTCTGGTGATACCACAGCAAATTGGCTAAAGTATCCAGTGGCAAAAAATGGAGGAGATGGTAAAATGATGCGAGCCCATAAGGCTCCATTAAATACAGCAGATATTAATCTTTCTGTTAATGCACCTATTGTTGCAACTGGATCAGCTGATGGTATGATCGCAGTATGGCAACCTAGTAAACGTGCATCACCTTATATTATACAACAAGTTGGTAAAGAAGTACGAAGTGTAAAATTTTTCTACACAGATAAATTTCTTTGTTACGCTGCTGGAAACACTGTAAATTTATCTCGTTATGCTTTAGATGATGGTGGTGGTGATTTACATCGTAAACGTAATGAATCCAAAATGGAGAATGTATTAAGTTTTAATGCAGGTTCCGCTCATTCTGTGGTAGCTATAGATGCTATTAATTACTTCACTTCTAACATTATAGTTTGGGCTGGATCAAATAAAACTGTTGGTATTTATGATGTTTCTGCTGAAAAAAATATTCGTCTAGTTGAAGAGGCCCATACACGACCTATACATCATATTGGGATGATGACAGCAAGTAGGTATGCTTCACCTAGTACAGATCTTTTACATATGTACATAACAGCTGGATTAGATAACACCGTTCGGGTTTGGGATCTTCGTCAAGAGCGATCGGTTAGACAATTGGCATTTCACCGCAACACTGCAGTTCCCGTTGGAGTGGCGCTTTCACCAACAGGTGCAATGGTGGCTGTTGGAAGTGAAAATCGTACAGTGTGCATTTACGATGTTGGCTCCGGTGCGGCTCTTGATAATGTGGTGGTAGCGGATATACCTACTGCAGTTTGTTGGCACCCAGTGGAAAATGTTCTCGCTGTTGGTATTACAACAGGTGGTATACATTTAATGGGGCAACGATAGAAAAAAAAAAAGAGAAGAAAGAAAGAAAGAGAAAGAGAAAAAGGAGGATGTTTTTTTTTCTTTTCCTGTATTTCCTTTTTTTTAAAAAAATATTTTACTTTTCTATTCATCTCTAGGTGCCTCTGTCTCTTTCTGTGGGGATCCAAAAGTGAGATGGGGGAAATAGAGATAATAATAATAATAATGGTTATGCTCTTAGAGTAATAAGGGAATTTTATTTATTATTCATTTGGAAAGAAGGACGAAAAAAAGTAGATCTATTTCTACCCTCTTTTTTTTTTTGCATTTTCTACATTCACTCCAGTAGTCACATTTTAAATTCCACATAACCGTAGAGAAGAAGGTAGTTGTGGAGATGTACCACCACAGAAATACTTCAGTCAAACCTGTGGGAGGGGAAAAGGCACATGTACCCACATTATCATCAGCAGCAACAAGAACAAAAGTCATTGAAAGAGAAGTATTAACAAATGGATCAGGCATTTCATCAAAAGATGAAGGAACAATATCTGGTGGCAGTATTGCTCAGAAGAAAAAAAATGTTAAGCAAACCTACAGGCAAGTGAAAAAAAAATATACTAAATCAAGAACGACGCATAGAAAAGGAGAACGTCCATGGATTGGAGCCATGCTTACTTTTTTATATTTTCTTCTTGTGAGATGTCTTATTTTAGTACCACTGCGTGCTATACAAAAGTGGATAAAAGAATATTCTGAACGAATGCAATCCCGGCGTACAGAACAGCGGTATCTTGATATTATGAATTCCACTGATAGTCTACATACATGGTTTACAGCAGCCGTCAATCTTGACAATCATCGTGGGATGCAAAAGTGGAAAAGAGAAATACCAGTAAAGACGGCTTGTGATGCGGAGGGACTTCTACAAGATGCGTTGTGTGCGAGAGCTCTTGCTTTATCTAAGAATGAACGGGCAATGGGTGAGTTCTTACGTTCACAACTTCATCGTACAGCCCATGGAATAACCAATCCGTATAATTATCGCTATTACACTGGTACAACATGCTATGTAGAAGACTATAATACGGCAATTGTAAAACTAATACAGACATTTAGTATATCATCTTCTAAAGAAGAAAATATGAATCCAACAACTATCATTCCAGTTAGAAAACCTCCTGATTTTTATGCATCATTGATGGGTAATAATATTACGACTCAAGTTTCTAATTGTACAACGGAAGAAGAAGAAGAAGAAGGGGAAGTAGAAGTACCCACTGTTAATGAGAAGGAGGGAGAAGAAAAGTACTGTAGTAAAACAGAATGTTGTGATGTAGGAGGAAGTCATATAGATAGTCCTCCTGATGGGGATGGTGATAGTGATAGTAGTTGTCGTACCGCCGTAGCAGTAGGACCGAAACTATCATGTTATCTTTCTTCTCTTCTTCATTGGGCATATGAACCTCGTCCGTTAAGTGAAACATCTCTAACAAATATTGAAAAATTAAATATTCTTCAAGATACTTTACAATCCTATGGAAGAAGTGCTCTTATGCTTAGTGGAGGTTCAACTTTGGGAGTTTATCACACAGGTGTTGTTCGAGCTCTTTTTGATGCTGGATTACTTCCAGATATTATTTCTGGTTCTTCCGCAGGTTCTATTATAGCTGGACTTATTTGTACTAAATCAGAAGATCAACTTCGTATATTAATGCAAGAATCCGTACTTACAGTACAAACACTTCAATTAGAACCCTTTGATGAGGGTGGATTTTTTCAAAATTTAAAACGTCGAATTAAAACTGGTGCTCTTATGGATATTCGAACTCTTATGGAGTGTCTTCGTTCTAATTTTGGAGATATTACATTTGAAGAAGCTTATCATAAAACTGGTCGTATATTAAATGTATGTGTTACGAGTGATCAATATAGTGGTTCTCATACAGATAGACATATGCTTCTTAATTATGTAACTTCTCCAAATGTAGTTGTTTGGAGTGCTGTGAGTGCCAGTTGTGCTCTTCCAGGACTTTTCACAGCTGTTCAATTAATTGAAAAACATCCTGGTGGTAAATTTCATCGTTTTCTTCCTGGTCAATTATGGTGTGATGGAAGTTTAGCAAAAGATTTACCACGTGAAAGTCTTTCTGCTTTATTTAATGTGAATTATTTTATTGTTAGTCAAGTCAATCCACATATTATTCCATTTTTACGAAAACACGCATCCCCTTTAGTGTATAAACAACAACGACCAAGAAAAATTCTTAGCCGAATTTGGTATGGTTGTTGTCGCGAAGCACGTCATTGGGTTTTAAAACTATTTAATGCTGGTTTGCTATCCAAAACAGGAAAATTTGAATTACTTTACTTATCCTTAACTCAATGCTATGATGGTGATATTCTTATTCTCCCCATTGGGAATGTTTTACATGCGGTGCCGGATTATTTCAATATTGTCGCCAATCCCAGTCCTGAGTATATTGCGTTTGTCACTAGTAAGGCTCAACTTCGTACATGGCCTCATCTTAATCAAATTCGTCATTCCACAATGATTGAAAGGACTCTCCTTCAGGAAATTGCCATACTGAAGGAAAGTATTGGAAAAGGTGAAAGAAAAAACGATTAATTAAAAAGAAAGTACATGTTATTAGTTTTTTAGTTTATGTCTTGTTTTTTGTTGTTGTTGTTGTTGTTGTTGTTGTTTCAGTTTGTGTCTGTTAATGCGTTTATTTTACTTTCGTTCGGTATCCCATTCTGATATCTCAAGTTTTTTTTTGTTTTTTTTATTATTATTATTATTATTATTTATTTAGTGTTATTGATGGAGTTTATATATATATATATATATATATATATAGTGAATATATGAGTATAAGTATGAGAAGTGATTGTTTTAGCGAGTCTGCATTTCTTTCTCTCTCTCTCTCTCTCTCTCTCTCTCTTTCACTCCTCCCTGTGAAGACAGAGATGAGTACGTTAAGATGCATATTATTATTATTTTTTTTTTTTTACCTTCCTTCTTATCATGACTGTGAAATATTATATGTAGCAGTCAAACTTTTCTTTATATGTTGATTTTATTTTATTTTTATATCCTCTCTTTTCTCTCTATATATATTTTCCTTTACCCTTCTTCTTCTTCCTCTTCTAGTCCACTCATTATCATTATCGAATAAATAATAATAGTAATAATAATAACAGAATGCTCTCTACAGATGCGATGGATCCATTTGAGTACCTCTTCATTGCGACTAGTGAAATATCACCGCTGCTGCCGTCCACTTTAGAAGCGACTGTTCGCCGCTCCCACAACCGCGCAGAAGACACCGCGACGGATCACACGGCCATTGAAGAGACGTGGAATAAACTCACAAAAAGAAATGATGGAGAGCCGCAGAGGGAGAATGTGTATAATGGATTAAAGTTTCGTTTACATGGCGTAGTGCAAGAGGGTAATAAGTGTAGTCTACAACTTGGTTTAACAGACTATAAGAGTAGTTTGGGAACGACAAGGAATATTGGTATGTATGCTGAGCTTGCGAAAAGAAAAGGTGTTCTGTTAGAGAATTATCTCGCGAATGCTTTGGGTGTGGAATGTTTTACTCTTACTTCTGATGGAATGGGGGTTTTATTTTGTCGATCAGAGTCTGTTAGTGAGTATCCTGGTTTCTTCTGTTTCCCTGGTGGACATGCAGAGCCTAATAAAATTTTTAATTGGCAACACTTTAAAGAAACCCACTCCAGAGATACTTCTACTATTATTACTACTACGAATAATAATAATAGTAATAATAATAATAATAATAATAATAAATCTTCTTCTTCTTTATTGAATGAGGCTGCAGGATGGTTTGAATATGTAACGACATCTACACTTGTGGATCTTCTCTTTGACGCAGCTACAATGGAAGTAGCGGATGAACTTGGGGTGGAACCCACTTCCTGTAGTAATAAAGGACTTTTAAGTGTTGTTAGAAATGTAAAGAGTAGAAAACCGGATGTTTGTTTTTTTATTCAATTAAGTCTTAACGCATCTGAAGTAAAGAAATGTTTTAATAGTCGAAGAGGGGCGGATGCTTTTGAATCAATTCCTAATTCATTGCGATTGATTGATCTTAACATGATCAAAACAGAAGAGGCGGCACGGTGTTTTGTGGAGGAAAAACTCCAGGGAAAATTAACTCCAGCATCTTTTGCGTGTTTGTTGCATGGGATAAAATATATTTAGTAATCACATCAAAAATATTTTTTTTTTTCACAATGATTACCCGAAATTAAAGAAAACGTTATTTATATAATGATCGCTTTCTTTTTGGAGATGGGAAAAAAAAAAAATTCTACAAAAGAGAATGGAGAAATGGAAGGTGGGTAGAGGGGGGAATACAAAATGGATAATAAAAAAAAAAAAAAATAGATTTGGTGACTAATTTTTACAGACCCAATTACTCTATGTGTTCTTATGGTCATTATTATCTTTTTTTGTTCTCCTCCCTTCTTCAATCTCCTCCCTCTTCTAATGTTGTGTGAGCCTTACCATTCTTAATTGAGTAGAGGAAAGAGAAAAGGGAGAAAAAGGAGGCCCAATATTATTATTATTATTATTATTATTATTATTATTATTATTATTTAGATATATTCACAATGGATGACTGTACATTATATGCGACTTCACAATCCACTGCAGTGGCGATGCTGCGGTATTACACAAGAGAGGCCTCTCAGGTCCCGTATGTCTCTCTTAAGAAGTGCGGCATTACAAACATTAGTGAACTTCTCTCAGCCTTCACTCAACTTCCCAATATGCTCTCATTGGATCTTAGTGATAATAATATTATTTCACTTCCACAAGGTACGGATTTGGCTGCATGTATGCCCCAATTGCGTTCACTTGATCTCTCTAATAATCCATTAGAACTATCGGAATCTGTATTGATTACATTACAACATCTACGGGAATTGCGTGTTCTTCGTCTTTCATTACCATCCAACTCAAGAGTTAATGTGTGGATCGCCGAGTCCCTTCCACAATTGCAAATCTTAAATGGAGTGAAAGTCCATCGATCTAATGTGGTAAAAGGTAATTTAGTGACTTTACCTAATATAAAAATGGAAAGATATGTATGCTCTGAAGAAACTCCATGTGATGATGGGAATTCTAAACGGATGATATTACAGAATCCTTCAGTAATAAAGGAAAAGAATTTAATATTAAATACGTTAAAATTAATAGATTATAGTACGAAACTTCATAAACCGAGTGAAGAAACATCAACAACAACGACTAGGGAAGTTAGTTTTTTACAACAAACGGAACATCCTCAACTCTCTCTTCTCTCAGTTCTACGTATTATTCAAAGAATGGCTTGGAGTAAGCAAAGACGAGAAGAAGAACGTCGTCGACAAAATTTATTGTATACACAGAGTGAAAAATCATATCCCTATCACTATTATTATGAAACCATGATTCAGTATATGTTTGTATTTTTTGGAGAACAGTATTCAACTTCATCGGATGCAGAAATAGTTGAACATATTATGGGATTTATACGATCTCTTCATTATTATGTAGAGGTAGAAAAATGTATAGAAGCCTATGTTTTTTTACAAATACTTCATAATAGAATTGAGGAATCGTATTGGTTATTTTTTGAATCTCTTTCTTCAATGATGAGTGATCTCTTGGAACATATTGTTTCTTCAGACTCTTTGGATCTTAATTTAACTGTACTACAGTCTGATATAAATAGAGAAGATAAACAAAATAACTCGTGGATACATCATTGTGCACATCATGGGTTTTTATCTAAGGAACATGTATTTCGTATCGTGGATGCACTTATTCCCTTATCTCAACGGGATAGTTTATTACATATTGATCTTGTAGAAGCTGTTGTTAATCTTTTATCCGTCTCAGATAATAATAATAATAATAATAATGATAATAATAATATTAGATTGGAAGGATTACAAAGTACAACCGTCACAGCAGGTTGTCTTCTTCGTTGTTTGTGTGAAGTATTCGTAAAACACCATGAACGATCTATTCAACCTATTGTGGAGGCATTTTATACTATTATTGATAGTAGTAGTAATGAGGAGGACTCTATTGGAATAATAAACATGGCACAACTTCGAGATTTATTACAATGTATGGGTTCTCCTTTGGCTGCCAGCTCTGAGTTCTTTATGCGTGTACACATATCAACTAATGGACCGTTAGAAGATGCTCCTATTACTTTTTCTGCTGTTGTGGAAGCCGTACGTTATTTTGTTCGGGGATCTCCTTCATTCTCTGAATAGAGAAAGGGTTGTAGAGAGTGACGTATATAAATTATTTTTTTTTATATTTATTTGTTTATATATATATATATATATATATATATATTCTTGTAACTGTATTCACCTTGTATATTGTAATGGCTATAAATAGATAATTAAAGAGAAAAAAAAAAGAAAGGGCTCTAGTATATACTATATTTCCTGGATTATTTTCTCTGGAGATTATTTTTTTTGTATTTGTATCTCTGTTTCTTCTTTGTTTTTGTTGTTGTTCCTTTTTTTATCACTAGTGACTCATTGCCTGTAGTTTTTTTTTTT